TGAAGTTTGCAAGAATAGTAAGGAAAGTGAAATTATTTCAGCAGAAAGATAAACTGAAAGTACTGAGCAGGCACATCAAGCAGGTCTGCTCCACTGCTCTCTATAGGCAGCAAGTGCCACAGGTCTCCTGAATGCCCCTCTGCTCACATCTTAACTCCACAGTGGCAGAAGACACTCTTAAGTGTAGCACAATTTGCTGTTTACAAGTTTTTTTATTTACCAAAAAACAAGCAACAAAAAAAAGTAGCACTCCAATGAGGAAGATAAGCAGCATTTGAAAACAGATCTGGAAACAAGCTGCTAACAGTTCTCTTCCATCCCACGAGCAAGAGTTCTCAGTGCAAACTGCTGTGGTGTGGGTCACTCTTCCAGGGGTTGCAGTGCTCCAAGGACAGGCTGCTCCAGCCTGGAAGCAGGGCCCACTCTCCACTGGATCACAGCCTCCTCCAGGCATTCACCTGCTCTGGTATGGACACCTCCCCCCTGGGCTGCAGGTGGATCTCTGCATCCCCCATGGATCCCCACAGGCTGTGAGGGGATCTCTGCATCCCCCACGGATCCCCACAGGCTGTGAGGGGATCTCTGCATCCCCCACTGATCCCCACAGGCTGTGAGGGGATCTCTGCATCCCTGTGGATCCCCACAGGCTGCAGGGGCACAGCTGCTTCACCATGGTCTCACCACAGCCTGCAGAGGAATCTCAGCTCTGGCACCTGGAACACCTCCTCCCCCTCCTTCTCCACTGACCTTGGTGTCTCCGTGTTGTTTCCCTCACACATTCTTTCCTCCTCCTCTTCTCTAGCTGGAAAATTACAACTGTCCCCACCTTTGTTTTGATTTTCTTCTTAGATCTGTTATCACAGAGGCGTTACCAACCTCTCTAATTGCCCAGCCTTGGCCAGCAGCATGTCCATCTTCAGAGCCATCAGGGACTGGCTCTGCCAGACATGGTGGAAGCTTCCAGCAGCTTCACACAGAAGCCACCTCTGTGGCTCCCCCACTACCAAAAACCAGGGAAAGCAAAACCAACACAGCAAGGCTGTAACTGATAACAAAGCATATAGATAGTGCCTGTAAAAAGGCGTGTGTCAGCAACATGAGGCCAGATAACATCAGATTCTTCTCACTTGAAAGGCAGCATTCATTCCCATGTGTAGTTCACTGCTTTCACCAAACCCACCCTCACTATGTGCATACCATTGCTTTCATTGAAAACTTTGTACAAAATATGAGACTGTTCACCCTGTCTCTTCTTGTGATATAGAAGCTGGATTTAAATAATCCAGTTTTTCTGTAAAATAATAAAGTATCTAAATACATGGGGTAGACTTTATTCCTTGTCCAAGCAGAGTTCAGAAGATGATTGTGGCTGCCTCTCTGCTGTTCAACATGTCCTTGTACTCTAGTTCTCCTTCAGAAGGAATTGCAAAGCATTAATAATACTCTTGCATGCTTCATAGTAACTTCTAAATGTTCAGATATTCCAGTTACCATGGCAACATAAAATGTCACTTCATGATCTGAGACACATAAAAAAGAACACATTAATAACAATAAATAAAGCCAGTGCTCAGTGTATATCTCTCAGGATGCAGAAATCTAACCCAGATTGGAACAGAAAAGATAATTTGACATCTACAGGAGAGGAGCACTCGGCTACAGCTGCTGAGATAGGAACCACTTTCCTTTGGACTTTTTAAGCAGGACTGGAGGTGTAGTGCTCAGAAACAGTAACAAGATGGACTGTGCTACATGCATTAATTCTGTAGCCCTTGCTCACTCAGAGAACAAGGGCCACTTTCAGGGCCTGTAAAACAACTGAAGGTTTTGTGAAAGGAAGAGGATCCAAAGCTGAACACAGACAGCCCTTTGGGAGAAAACAAGTGGGCAACAGCTCTCTGACAAAATTGTTTCTGCTCGCCACCTCTATAAAGGTGCTGCCTCCTGAGTAGCAATTCTCAGCCTACAGACAAGAGAGAAGAATGCTGGATAGCCACACCTGAATAATGTGGAAATGCCAGGAGTGAAGTTTTGAACCAATAATCTTTATTTAAAAGGTGAGTCTCTGAGCAGACAGATCAGGCCTGATACATGAGGGATGATACAGGGCAGATCAGATCTGTGAAGAAGGTCACTGAAAAGCTGCACAGAGCAATACCTGCCTCAGTGTGTGTGCTGGTTACTTCTTCACAAGGAGCTGTGGAAGATTAGATCAAGAGTGCCATGCTGAGAAGGTGCTTCCAGAGCAAAAGGCTTAGTACTTGAGTACCAGCCTCTGGCTGTAGGGAGGCAGAATGAAGCAACTGCAGGACACTCCTCAAGGTGTTCTCAAGCAAATCCTACTACTTTGTAATGAAGCAGGATAAGGAACAATTTCCCAATGACCTCACTTCAAAGGGAGGCTTTTAAAAGGATTTACACACCCTTTGTCTCACAGGTTTCATCCAATCAACTACCTCATCAGCAAGCAGTGCACACTGCAGCAAACAATTTTACCTTCTAATGTCTCATTTGTATGTCAAGAAATGAACTCTGTCTCCTTCTTTAATTACAGGCTCACTTTGCTCTCTCCCTCAGCTAGCACACAGGCTGCTGCTAGCACCATCTTTAAATGTATTCTCACCTCTCCCCAATTCCACAGTGTTTCCCAAGCAATTCTTGAAGACAAGGACCAATCAGCTAGCAGAAACTGCAAACTCACCATGGTGATCCCAGGGTTGGCTTACCTACAGGATTAACTAAAAGTGTATGGGAAGGAGAGAGGGAAAGTCAGATTGCAAGAATGAAGAGAGAAGTAACTCTCAGGTGCCTTACCTAAGAACAGCTGAGGCCAAAGAAGCCATTGTAATAGTAGCACACTCCTGTGTAACAGAACCCATTGCCACTGCAATCCCTAGGATATTGATTCTCACTCCAGTCCTGTCCAATGAACTCCTTGTGGCACTGGCAGACCTCTTTGGCTGTGCCACAGATCCCACTGCTGCTACAGTTCTCCAGGCACACCTGAAGGCTGCAATCCTCACCAGGAAAGGCTCATCACAGCCACACTTCCCAGCATTGCCACGGCAACTGCAGTGAGGCACACCCGGCCAGAACAACACCACAATGCACAACTGCAAGTGTGATACATGGATGAGACAAAATAAAACACAAGAAAAAAATTAGGCAGCATTAGACAGGTAGAGAAAAGGTATGTTCAAGGCCATTAAAGGAAAAGCAAAAATACCACTGAAAAAGACCTGATGGCATCACCTTGTCCATCTGCCCCAGGTCCAAGAAGGGACCAGCTCCAGCCTTGATTTTTCCAACATGTTTGTCCATGGTCAGCAGGAATGTGGGTTCCATGACCACCCCAGAGAGTCCACTGGAAAGTTTTCCACAGCCTCTAACCTAAACCTTAATATTGTAATTTAAACTATTTCTCACCACGGATATTATTAAGATGGAGGGTGCATTATTCTCATCTGCCATACACCTGTATTTTTCACGTAAGCAAAGACTTAGGACTTCCCACCTCCTCTCCCTGAACAACAACAGTTTGTTAAATCTTTTCTTAGAGGCCATGCAGTATAAATCTGTGATCCCAGGCAGAACCAGTGGCCCCCACAAAACATTATCATCATAAACTTTGCTCTTCTTTTAGTCACTTATCAACAAGAAGGTAAAAAGACATTCTCAGCAATGGCAAAATTCTGGAGGCAAAGTTGAGAAAGAAAAAGATGGCAACTAGAAGTGCCTACTTCATCTTTCACCCTCCTGTCCTCAAGAAAATCCTCTATTGAACCCTCCCACCTACATGAATCACAAAATCCAGGGCACCACACCATGAGAAGGAGAAACCCCAACAACCCTGACAAATTAGTGCAGACCACAGATCTCTGCAGTAAATAGGCTGTACCTGGGAAGTAAGAACAGATACCACTCTTGTTACTTACCTTGGCTTTCCCAACAGCACTTCTGAGGACTGAAAACTTCCTTCAGCTCTGCCACTTCCTTCTCAAGCTTCTCCACCCTTTCAGAGATCCTTAACGTGGGTCAAGTTTCACAGCTCCCTGTGGGTGGGTGCGCATCAACGTTGTGCCTAAAGATTATATTCTGCTTTCCCTTTCCTCAGCCTCTCCAGGATCTAGCTGCACCCTACTATTCTCTTTATTATGCTGTAATGGATGTGCTTTAGATTTAATTTGGGAGGATGTGGACAGGTCAGTCTTACAGGATTGGCTCAAGGATATTCTTTGAGCACTGCTGGTGCAGTTATGAGATGCAGGATGGTGAACAGCAGATGTCTGGAGAGCACAGCACAGCAATACACCCACTGGGAAGGCAAGCTAGTCCTGGAAATTCATCTGGCATGTTCTCAGAGGAAGAGCTGACCCTTCAAACAGCACAGCTGCTTTCAAGAGCAAAAACAAAAAAACAAACCAAACAAAAAAAATACCCACAAAAACAAACAAAAAACCCCACAGAAAACAAACAAACAAAAGGAAAATGTAAGAACTGTGATCATAAAAATGGTTTTCATGATTTTCTAAAAGACAAGTTATTTGTTTTGCCTTGATTCAGAACTAGGCTGGTAAGTACCTGAAAAAGTCACAGTGAATGAGACAGATACAAAAGAGCTCTAAGTTTTCAAACTTCAGATAAGGCTTGGTACCATGGTCCATTGCAATTGTTAACTATGCCACTGCACCTCTCATTCTCCTGCAAGTTACAACAGACTTTGTATCAGCCTCTCAGCTGTGGTGTGCATTACTGAACATCTTTTTGGCCATGGCATTCTTGAGCCCTGTGCATGGTCTTCAACTCAAAGCCTGTGCTGATGCTGTGTGCATGAAAAATTCAGAGACCTGACACTGATCTTTCTGTACAGGAAGTGTGGGACACAGCTTTGCCCACTTCATGTTGCTCTCTAATATAGCATATAGCATACACTGTCATCTGGATTTGGGAGAATTAAAATGTTTGCTCCATTTGACACCAATGCATTGGCATTTTGTGTGCCTGAATAATTGATTCGCTTGAGAGATTTCAAGTTTATTTTCCTGTGACTTTTACCTGACTTATCAACTTAGCACTGGCAAAGTTTATCTAGAAGCTACTAGAGCACATCTGTTAACACATGGAGCAAGAGGATGTGCTGTAAACTTACTTGTTTTCCCATACTTTTATTTCAGAATTAATTGTTCTTTCCTACCTTGGATAAATATATAGGAAGAGCTTATTTTTGGGCTAATTAAGTCTTAAAACTAAGACCTAAAACTAACTAAATAAAATATTACTGTTAAATTTCATTGACATTTAGAGGTCAAAACTGAAGATGAAATGTTTAAAGTTTTCAGGTACAGTCATTCACACCAAAAAAACATGTTTGCAGCAAAAGTTTTGTCAACCCATGAAGAATTTTGCACTTAATGTCCAATGAACGCCTCATAGATAAAAATAACAAGAAAGCAGAAGCTGAACAAGGAGGGGAAGAAGGATAAAATATAAAGCTAGAAATCTGAATTTACCAGTTGGTTTATTCAATATTGTACACTAAATGTTGGCATTAATGGTACATGCCAATCTGTACCATTATAAAAAATATTATTATAATATTTTGATTATTATCATAATCAAAAGGTGATATATATATATTTGGTTAAAAACTTTCAATTTCATACCACAGCATGCAAATTCAAAATGCCACCATATGTGACTTACTAAGCAGTTGTGTTATTCATTGCACAAGCAGAAAAAAAATAAATCCATTATTTAAATCTAAATTAGGTAATGTCATAACTAGAAAGCACTTGGCCAATATGTGTCCACAGTAACAGCATATCTGGACTCAGATAATGCTTCATTATAATAATTCATCCAATCCTGAGTTACAATAAAAATTCTCTGTTTCTGTGAAACATACTTATATCTCCTAAATGTCTGCCAAAGACTTGGAAATATCCCTACCATTAGATTAATGCCTTCCACTGGCAGCACAGCTACAAGAAGGTGTCCTTTCTGTCCAGAGAAACAAGGGTTTGGTTGCTAAAAACCAAACATACCCTACACACCACCACTGGACAGACATATACCCACTTATACCTGTGTTGCAGACCACTTTGCTGCATGTCTCTTCAAGCAAAATAATCACAGACACCAATGAAAACACAGTATGGATTTCAAGATTCAATCTATAATTCCTTACCTGATACCTGGATTAGGTATTAGGAAAAATTTTCCTTTACTGAAAAGGTAAACTCACACAGGGCTGCCCACAGCATGGCTGAAATCACCAGCCCTGGACAGATTTAAAAGTCATGTACATATGAACATGTACATATGTACTGGGTTAGTGGTTGAACTCAATGATCTTGGAGGCTTTTCCAAGTTTAAAAATTCTATGATTCTATCCATAAAATAAGGGAATCATCTCTGCTTCTTATACCCAAGTAGTTACTTGTTTTCTTTGGTTTTCTGCCTCCATTCAGCCCTTATCTACATTTAATGTCCATTAAGTGAAATGGAGGGGAGCAAGTACATTGCTCTGTGAATGCAGGTCTCCTTCCCTATCTTTCCCTCCTTGTGTTTTGCAGATGCCTATTTCTGACCAAAGATACAGCTTTCCCACCCTGACTCATCCTCTCCCTCCAAGCGACACAGAAACTAGCTCCACCTTTCTTCTTCTCCTGTGCAGACTTCTGAAAGAAATCAAATCATAAGAGATTGCTTCAAAAGCTCTGAACAAATTCATGTTTAAATTCTGCAGATTCTCATCATAGTCCATTGCAGGAAACCCCAACACTTTGTTCTGTGGGATTTACTTCCAAACCCCTGGAGATGAGGTCCCCAAACAGACAGACACATGCATGAAATCCTTTTGTTCAGCACCTAGTGATTAATAGCATTCTGGGCTGTAACATGACGTTGTGACTAATTAGGGCTTCATGGAACCATAAATTGAGCTCAAATTTTCCAGGGCTTAGACATCATTCCAGAGGAAAAACCCCTGGACACAAGTATTTCTATCAAGCATAATGAAAGAGAACAACTTTTTTGGCTTCCTCATCATATAATAAAGAGTTTTTTCCCTGCTGTTAAGAAGAGTGGGTTTAACTGATTTTTCGTGGAGAATATAATGTCATACATATAACTGGCAATAACAGCAGATTAGGGAAAGGACTAATTTAGGAAAGAATGCCTAACAGTCAGATCTACCAGGCACAGAATATTCTCCTAAGGGAAGGAATGAAAGAAACCCTGTTCACATCTTCTTGGCAGAGGAAAGCATGGGACGATCAAAGCTGGAGAGAACGTGGAATATTTGTATGAAAGATTCCAACAATCCAACTCCGCAAGTCTTTTTCCATTCTACTGCCCAGTGCTTGAAGATTTAGGGTAGAGACCTTCTATGTACAGATGACATAGAGATAGGATTGAGGAGAGAAAGGGGGACTTGGAGTCACAGATGAAGGAAATGCAGGTCTAGGACAGCTCCATGGTTGCAGAAGAAAGAGAGAATTCTAGGATTGATAAATGGGGCAAAGCTGATTATGCATGCATCCAAGCCACAGAATTATACAACACAACACTGGAAGCAACACACATTAAAACAAAATAGCCAGAACAAAATGAGACATGGTGAAAGGAGCCATGGGGCAAGTTTGAGACTTGAGCTTTTTGAGTACCAAGGGTGAATGCAGAGTGTGATTTTTTGAGTGTAGCCTTCTGCATGCTAAAGCTAGAATGGAACTGCCAAGTGCATCACAGCACCAGAGACAGGAGAACTGGCAGATTCCTAATTACCTAGGTAGAAAACTGGCATGTTCAAGCATCCTGAAGCCAAGGAGGTTTCTTGAGAAACACAAGAGGAATGACAAATACTAAAGGTATGTCAGAAAGTCCTTTACAAGTTCACAGAAGTGCTACTGATCTCCAAACAGCCACCACTTCAATAACTCTCTACAAGAGCAGCAACAGACCTGTGTGACCAAGACTTTTAGTCTGAGGAGGCACGAGCATTACCAATGATGGATGCCCATCAAAGGCTCTGCCCTCAAATGGATATTGACCATTAAATTCTGCTTAAACCATGGACATGACAATGCAGGAAAGTGTGCAGCAGCAGCCTGTGGAGAGAAGCAAAGGCACCTGCAGAGCACATGGCAAAGCTTTGTGCTTAGACACAGCAGCAGATGTAGCAGCACAGGAAGTGATAAACCAGCTCATCCCTCAGTAAGCTGGAATGCAGTCATGCTCCTTATGTCCTGCAGTGCTTTTCACAATAAAGAACCACACAAGTTAGGGCATTAAAAAGCAGAACTGTGTCTCAGGGGGCTATTATCCTTCGTTGGCAATCAGGCAAAAATAAAGTGGGGGCTCAAAACATGCATAAAATGATGATACTGCCACTCAGACTCTACGATGTCCAGCCCATTTTCTTTCAGTTTTTCATATTTTTCTCAGTGATGTACTTGACTGAGACAAGTTACTAGTTTTACAGACTTTGCATAAGTATGATTTTGTTTAACCAACTAGATTATTTGCCTTTATCTTCCGTGGTAAAACTGTTCTACTGTTCCAAACCTCAGCTGTGTTAGAAAGCTGTGCATCACATTTCCATTTCTCTGGCATCAGCCACAAAAGCCATTCCATGCAGCTGCTGTAATAAGCCAGCCAGCATTCTGTTTTCAATATTATGCAATCTTCATGAAATTAATGCTTGCAATTAGTGCAACGAATGACTGCCAACAAAAAATGCAATCATTAGTTTGGCAAGATTGCTTCTTTTGCAGTTATCTCCCATTTTTTACCAGACTGAATGAACCTACTTTCCACTACAAAAGTTTGGGATAATTCAAAATAATTAATAAAAAAACAGAATTATAATCAGCCAGAGAGATATTGTGCTTCTGGAATCATCCTTATATTTTTTCTTTCATGCAAATTCTGCAAGATCTGATAAAAAAATTGTATTAACTATTCATACGTGAATGAGTGTCAAAATCCTACATAGAGAGGTTCAACAGCACTTGCATATTTGCTCATTAGCATAAATATGCATTTTGTTACAAGCTACCTAGCTCCCTTCTCCTCAGTCAGTGGCTTTCTGTTTCTGAAAGTCAGTCTTTCCTGAATCAAATCTTTGTTTCATTGTCTCCACAGTTCAAACATTTTTTTAACTCCTGTATTGGATTAATTTTACTTATCCAATGACTGATATCTTTATTATAAATAAGGTATCCAAGAAGGTACTTTTATTATGAAAACAGTGATAAATTTCACTTTAGGTGCTAAATACTTAGACTCATAGAACCCTAGGTTTAGGTTGGAAGAGACCTTAAAGCCCATCTGGTTCCAGCTCCTTGCCCTGGCAGGGATACTTTCCACTAGACAAGATTCCTCCAAGCCCCATC